CGTGGATTCTATACAGCCCTACTATTACATACTATTTTCAAAAATGGTGAATGTTTCCTTAGAAAGCAAGAAGCGGTTTAAACAGAATAATCGATTGCGAAGGGCCATGTACCTCAACGTTGGACATTTACCGGGACAATTGTGAGGCAATTTTGATTTATTTCAGTTCACAGATTCTTTGAGTACTCAGTCTCAACTCATCAACTATTTAGAAAAACCAAGTAGAATTTTAGCCAGGAGTCCCGCTATTTCCAATATGAGGTATTCTGCCATGGTTGCTGTTTCGAAAAGACATTTTTTCGTATTTTTCACCTTCCAAAGTCACGAATTAAGTAAAATAGTTTATGTGCTATTTCGTAATGAGCATTTACTTTCGTTCTTTTACTCCTGTTTATTAACAATAACTGAACAATCACAAAAGAATGTAAGCTGAGGTACCGGCTTGTCACTTTGGTAGGCAATGATAGACAAATGAGACAAAAGTGTGCACCAAATATACACGATTTTGGTGACAAACAATGCAATGTAAACATAGGGGCTCCTTCTAACTTATTCGGATTCGTTGGTTTCGTCTCAACATTACTCCTGTTAAGGTATGTTTCCAACATAACATTTGCGGCGCATGTGTCGCAACATGTTGCAGACTGTCAGAATGTCTGCCACGTGCCACATTTGTGATTCATTTGTGTGTAAAATCGAAGTTTATAATTAAAATTTATGTTGATTTTTCATTTCGTTCAGGAACTGAGAATTGAGTGAATTTCAAATTCATGCATCGGTTTAATAATAAATAATAAACTATTATTTGCATCGCTATTGGAAATTGACGATTAGAAAGACACAATGATTAAGAACAAGGTATGTAGAATTCACTCTTATTCCAAAATCAAAAATTTTGCCACACTGATATTATAGTTTGAAAAGTATTTTGCAGCCTATTTTAATCTCTGGGTAAACTCCGTTTTAATTACAGGAAACTGAAGAACCAAATGTAAGCTGGGCTTGAGTTATGGCAAGATTAGAGTTCCGTCACGCACTTTTATTGAGCATGCATTTGAAACTAATTTACAAACATCCCAAAACTGCCTGTTTCAGCGGTCACTTCACCTGGTACATGTTTTATCACATAATGCGGAACATGTCGTGGAGCAAATTTGTTGTACTAGAAACGCGTCTTATTTCGTACACCATCGTTAATGTGGGTATCCGGGCATGCTGGGATAAGGGGTAATGAGATAGCGGCCGCTTTGGCGAAGACAGGATCAGCCAGCAAGCTCGTTGGTTCTGAGCCAGCTTTAGGAGTGTCCGCGAAAAGAGTTAGTAGGAAAATGGAGCCGTGGATAGCAAAAAAGCACTCTCAGAAATTGAAAAGTATCTCCAAACATCTCCATCAGGCACGAAAACTCATTTTAAGGCCCAGCGCTACGGATGGACGTTCCTGCTTATCTATGGATAGAGCCAACCTAAGGTTGCTGGTGGGACTGTTGTCTAGTCTAGTCTAGTCAACACGTTAAGGTGCCACCTGCACGTGATGGGAATGGCTGAGGATACCTTGTGAGCGCTACGGGGTAGAGGAAGAGACCTCGACGCACGTTCTGTGTCGCTGTGAAGTTATGAGCTACTATATTGGGGTCCATTGCTTTGGACCCTCAGGACGTCAAGAAGCTTGGACTCAATGCCATTCTCAACTTCGCTAGAAAGGCGATGCTTGAGGTATAAGGAGTGTAGAGATGCATAAGGGCCCGTTTAAGCGGCCTCTGCACTGGCTCCTTATGGTGGCCGGAATGCCTCTAATTTCAAGATTCATTCATCTGAGTGATTCCTCCTTAGATGGACGTTCACAACGATCCTAGTGAGCAAACGTGGAATGACTGTTTGCGCCCTAAAAACTACCTAGTTTGCAAGACGACATCCAATAGTTTTTTTTGCCATTTTATAGGTTTTTTACATGACATCCATGCGGGTACGGTCCCAGGTTGGTACTGTATTATTGACAAAAGCTTTTAAAAGTAATGTTCCACTACCTATTAATTTTCGTGTATTGCTGTTAGTCATCAACGAATTCAAGACGAAGTATGTGGGAAAAGGCTTTAGACATTTATAGGATATAAATCAAACAAAGACAAAAAGAGTACGCACGGTTAATAACAAATTCATTCATTCACATCACCTTATCCCCTACAAACATTTTTCTGAAAATGATTAGGAGTTTCTGAAACGTCAAATATCGATGTGTAATCAATTCCTTTCGATTTTTTTTGTTTTCTTGATTGTAGCTTAGGCTCAACCAGATTGTATTTCAAAAACGGCAAGCTTTTTCGTCTCTGTCATGTTATAGCCTTGTGTCAAAATTGTGTCGTAATCCGACCGGTACGTTCCAAGGTATAGCGGGTACTAAGGCTTAGCGGATAGACAGAGACACCAACCGACAGAACTACAGACCGTCGGAAATAAGTGACACGATTTTTCGACAAGTGCGTGTCACAATACATAGCATCCAAATAACATAACGTCACATTTTCGAAATCTTTCGTGATTACAATATTTTCTAGCCAGTTGCATGGGAATCAAAAACAAAGATAAACTGCATTACTTACGGAACTAGGAGGTAGACAATCATTCCAGCTATTAAATGCAATTTTGTCTAATTGAGAAATATCTAGATTTGGAGCATATAGAACGGTAGAAGTATTACCTATCTTCCATTTCAGAAACACCCCATTGATCAAAAGATACATAATTATATGAGCAATATTCCCTAGGCATTACTCAATATTACATCACCATATCCCATAAGCTAACCTATTCACAGTACGTAAATATCCACTGCCTTTCCTAGAACTAGGTCATAATACAAATGATTTTCTCATTAGACTAGCGTGTTGTGACCTGTCCCTTTGTCTTACTCGGAAAGTGTGTCAGGTACATAATGAACAAAAATGAACTATTATTGTGCCCTGAAAAAGATATGCATGGTTTTGTCACAAGGGCGAACCAGTCTTTGTTGCAATGGTATATTCTCGAGCTTTAGTGTATGTTTTGCCTTTTGGGAAGCAGATACAGGGTGGGCCATCCATTGTTTGTTTTTTTTTAAAATTGGTACTAAAACTACACTCTTCAATAATATGTAACACTCGATACTTAATTCAAAAGAATACACCTTCCGATTATTTATGAAAAACAATTTCAGTTAAATGGCTGCGCAGCTGGCCTGGTAGTCCATCCTCTTAACCCAATTTTGAAGTACATTTTCTATAGTTTGTGGGTCTATTTCATCAATAGCTCGACGGATATTTTCCATAAGAATATCAATTGTTTGAGGATCGTTAGTGTAACAGCGGTCCTTAGCAGTACCCCTTAGGAAGTAATCTATGGGCGTCAAATCACAGCTGCGGGCTGGCCAATAAACGTCTCCAAAACTGCTGATAACGCGATGATCGAACTTAGTGTGTAGAAGACCGATTGTTTCACGGCTGTTGTGACATGTTGCGCCATCCTGCATATGTCGTCTAATAGTGACCACAAAAATCTCCTCAACATGTCGCTATAGCGTTCCCGGTTTACCGTCACCCTGCTACCATCTTCATCTTGAAAAAAGTACGGACTAATAATCCCAGCACTCCAAAAGCCACACTTAACAGTTACTCTTTTTGGATGCATTGGTTTTTCTGTGACGAAAATGTAGATTTTCAGAACCCCAAATCCTACAGTTTTGCTTGCTAACGTAACATCCCAGATGGAAATGGGCTTCGTTCGAAAAGATGATTTGGCGACCAAAACTGGCGTCCGTTTCCAATTGATTTAGAGCCCATTTAATGACCAAAAAATATAACATATGCTACAAATCTGTCTTTCATCAAGGGTTGATTGAATATAATAAACTATACACAGAAACTTAGACAAAATTTAAAGTAAAAGTGAGGAATCACTTGTTAAATCGACAATTATAGGTTGCCCAGTATTTACATCATACATCATATGGCTTGAATTTACTAATTCTAAGTTGTTTACAATTATTCTGTTTATGTAGCCAAATGTGCTAAATAAATCTTTCTACTACTACTACACAGAGAAACGATATCGAAGCGCATGGTCATTTTGTTTCAATGCTTGCACAAGGTGCACCTTGTAAGGAAATAATCCCAGGTCGTTATGCAATATTCTCCGCATAGTACACTCTGTATGTACTGGTCGAAGACGCTCATACCTTCTGTTATCCACAAGCAGGCCAGTTCCACAAATTTTTGTATACCAGTCGTGGACGGAGGTTCATTCCGACCAAATAGCCTTCTCAATTTTCGCAAAGCTTCTGCAACACAGCACTCACTTTGAAAATAGTTTTTCAATATTTCCTACCTTTGTTCAAAATTAAAACGATCCATTGCTCACAGCAAAAGTTTGACACAATATGTCTGTCAATATGTTGAGCATGGAAGTGTTACCAACTGTCAACATACAACCAACTTGAAAAAAAAAACAGCTGATGGCCCACCCTTTATAACAAATATTTTTCCATTTCTTCACGTATACAGTATTGATCAAATAGTTGGTCAAATTTGATTATTCATTTCAAAATATTGCTTTGTTCATAAAAATCGTTATTATCGATTAGATGATCCTGTCACAATTTGTAAAAATCAAGCAGGCATAGTCATATCGTTGAAAACTTGACTAAAACCGATTAAAGAAAAGACCTTATAAAACAACAAATGCTCATTTTAATCCGGTGAATTCTTTCCTTGGAGGGTTTGGGTTTTATTGAAGCATTTCTCGTATTTATTACAACTGTGCATACGTAAATTCAACAAATATCAACAAAACTGGCTAAAGAATTATTGGGCTTTTACCGAAAAATCGATATTCCAACGAATGTACCTTAAAAACGAAGAATTATTACACATTTCTGGGATTGGAACCACACCATTTGGTATCTAACCTTATTAACGCCCTCTGCCGGTTCAATGGAATTCTATTTCTACATTTAACCAATAAAATCTTACCTCTTAATACCTGAGAACAGATATCACAAGGGGTTATCTTCTTATAAGTATATTCCTGAAAATTGTGAGCATCTGGGTCACCCTTGAGTAGCTCTCGAGTGGCTGCTGCCCCGTTTTTCCTGTATAAAGCAGAAAAGAAATATGTCAGAGATGGCAGGATTCACGTTTCGTTACAGTTAGAGATATCCTAGTCAGAAGTTACCGAATCAAAACTTATTTTAGGGAGTAATGCTTAATGATTTGACTGACATTGTAGCATCGGGATGCATCTTGGTTGGTGTATGTTATCACCACCAGGATGACTGAAATTAAATTCTAACACTGTCGTCTGAATCCCCAACGCTACTTTTTAAATAAAGATTCGAGAATATATAGTAGTCAGTTTCCTGTGGTTTCTCCAGTATCCTGTGACGTTCATCTTGATAGCACTCCACTGTCTTTCTGCTAAATCAAACCACATATTATGTTCCAGTCACTGTTTACTGTACTAGGTTTCGACTAACATGGTGGCCTTTTTCAAGCTACTTGACAATCAACTTCACTAATTTTGTCACGTCTGTGGATCGATCTGTTTGTTTTAAACCAGAAAAACCTTAAATATTATTCACAATACTATGCTGAATATTAAAAATTTTTGGAGGCAGCAAAATTCTCGGGGAGAAGGGGAAGGGAGCTTGTGAAGCTCGTTGTAATTATTTCCTATGCGGTACCTCTGCTGCAAAACATCAGGTTCTGACAAGGATTTCTCTTTTAACAGATTATACCTTCACCTTGAATGCAGATATGTAAAAACTATAGATGATACAATAACATACGCTCCTTATTTGATTATAGTAAGGAGTATATAAAAGCTTGTTTGTGGATACTTGAAGTATAATAGTGTATATCAAGTGAGTAGTGTAATGAACAGGTGCTAGAATGTTGTTGAGAGTTATGCTTTTGTCATTGGTAGGTTTGTATTGAAACCATGAATATGATTTGCCACGAGCTTCGAGTCTCAAGTCAATTATCTAGTCGGTGAAATAGGTTAACTTGTGCGAAAATAGTAGTTCTGGGTTATACACCTATGACTATGTACTACGTGAATCTAAGTAATTTGTATACGCCTATGATATTACGAATCCATTTGAGTCCGCTTGGATATTTTTATTAAAATTATAAATTGTATACATTCATTTCGATCATAGGTGAATAATAAAAAATAGTAAAAGCAATTTCTGGAATTCAAGCACATCACTATACTCATTCCCGCTCTTCAAAGAAAAATTCGCATACAAAATCAGTTGCTTTATCCTGCACTGTACTACTATAAATTTCCATTTTCTATGAAAGTATACACTGTTCGTGGCGACTGCATTCGCATCAATCTTTAAGTTGAAAAGATTGTATTCAATTGTTGTTCCTTGATGTTTCACGTTTCCAATACCGCAATTTCCACAAGGCAATCCTACTCGATTTGTATTTCCAGCCAATCTTGCTTTCTTTGAAATCTACTCTCAATCTAGAACGCTTGCCTACGAGAAAAGTACGTATATTGCCAAGAAGGAATGTTTGCATCAGTTGAATATTGTGTTTTAGGAATTCAAAATGCAGTCACATATTACAATACAGATGTACAGTTGTTCTCATAGATATACATAGCTCTACAGAACAGGAAATTCCAGAGTAAAATAGTCAACAAAGACGAGACAGCCCAGTTTTTTATATACCGTCGACTTTAAGTAACTGGGATTTTAATACTAATGACTCTAATGGCTTAGCTGATATTTAAAAACCGAATTCCTCAGATTCTGATTATAATTTTTTGTATGAGTATGGCATCTTTAGCAACAATGTATAAAAATACAAACTGTTACTTATCTAACTATACTGATGCTCCTAGTTTGATACCCTATCGATTGATCCTGCTAGTTTCACTTTCTACGCCAATTGGCGAGAAATTACTGCAATCATGAAAAGGTTCGAAAATGAGATATGCTTCTTTTGGACGTTTTCCGTCGGTCTATCCGTCTGTCAGTCTGTCGATCATTGCGCCCTCTAAAACCTGATAAGTACCTCTCGGATTTTGTTAAAACTTTGACACAAGATTACTGTTATACCAAGGACGAAAAAAGTTAGTAGGTTCCGTTCATTGGCGGCAGATCTAAGGACAAAAAATAAGTTAAAATAAAGATAGCTTATGCTTCATTTTTTGACGTGAAAACGACGCTTGCGCATTTCTAGAAATTTTTTTGAGGAGTTGAAAATTGTGGGATGAGGGTTGTATCATTGACAGATGCTTGAATCTTAAGAAGCTTCTTATACTGGATATACTACGCATCTGTTACATATGGATGTGAATCTTAGCTTCAAAGTATGGCTAAATAACGTAAAATCCTGCGGGCAGCCAGATTGCAGCGAACAACTGAGATTCCTTGATTAATATTCACGGTCAGATACCAAGAACTGCTAACAAGCAATAATAAAGATAAAAGTAATGAAATGCATATCGCTGCAGTCTGTTCTGTTTGAAGTTAATCTCGTGTGTTTATAGTTGTTTCAGGATTCAAAGTACATATCAACAGCTATTATAATCTATTATCAAAAATGTTAACACCCCAGCGTATTTTTAAGTCCACTTTGTACAGATGAAATTGTACTGAATGGAAAATTTTATATGTCGCGCATTAACAACGTGTGCGGTGTATTTCGGGGCTGTTTTTCTCGAGAAATTATCAATGGTCATTTTATTTAGTATTTCATGTTATTTCACTAATCAATACGAGAAGGTAGATTTGGCTAGGGGCACAAACTTACATCTTTTATTTGCGCGATTTGGGATCAAACCTTCATGCGACCATATCAATCAATAAAATAGTGAAATAGGTGGCGATATTAAGATTGAAGCCACGGATATTAGCTGACGCATCTGTATGTGAGGCACCATACTGTTTCATACAAATACTCCAGACTACAAGAATTTCCTGCCTCTAGAAACTAATTCCACGTGACTCAAGGATCTAACATACATTTTCTCGATGCGGCAATTAGGTACATCTTTATGTAGACGAGTGTCTATATTTGTACTTATAATCTACATTTTTTCCCAAAATAACATGTTTATCAATTTCAGAAGTCATAACCTATACTATTTATTTCTAATGGTGTTCGTGTATCATCGGAGTTTATAAATATAGTGAACATGTAGCGGTACGTATAGTATAGATTGCGTGCAAGCTATAGCAGATGCAGGGTGATATTTACAAAAAAGCAACAGTGAGAGGGAACGATGAACGACAAAAAATGATAAATGAAGATGGAACTTTACCTCATCGACATTATTGTAGATACTGCATGGTACATTTGGTTTTTTGGTCTGTATTTGGGAGCACAAATAAACGACAAGTATAAATAAAATATGTTTATGAATCTTCCACTAGGTATAGTTCAGTAGTTGTATGTATAATTTATATTACTACTCTTTCTAAGCATTCCATATATTTTTACTTCAGTAAATAACTTAGAAGGGACGGGTCACCAGTTTTGTCTAAAGATTTCATGTGAACAGTTTCAGACCTCACAACTCATGCCTCAACAGTATTTTGCCTAGTGCACCTTGGATAATGAGAAATTAGTCAGCGAATAATGTCCAATGCGAGCTTAAGTTCAAAAGTGATGGTCCTTTGATATACTGATGTGTATATTTTAATGTTACGCTTTATTGTTTTTGAAATGTGTCTTCATTGTTAGTGTTTTATCAACCGGCACCATTTCTGCAGGAATCATAGAAACAATTCACAGGCCGTTCTGCAAACATCAACTACTAACTCTTTATGCAACACTCGGACGGTAAACATGATAAAAACATCTAAAACAAAGTGAGACGCGAGCAAATTGTTAGCATGGACCTTTTTGTTTCTAAAGTTAGCTGTAAACCAATCTCATTATGTTTGAAAATATGTTTAACCTTTGTTGAATTCTGTAGCTAAACACACATAATGCCTCAATTGTGAGTACATATTAGCATTTGAATGACGGAATGTAATGACAACAGCATATCGAGGCTAAGTAGAAAAATATAGTTGTAGTCACCGTTCTTGGCGGGCCAAAGTAAGACCAGTATGCCTTTATACATCTCCATCTCCTTCATACATGCACATGCAACCGTGTGAACGTTTGTTCGGTAAGCTCAAAGACATACGTTTTTTTAGTTGTGTGTCTCCGGCTGTAAAACTTTATCGTTACGTATGAGTGCCCTTCAATCATAGTTGCCAGACTGACAACTTACTTGACATCGGCGTGCAATTTGAGTTACCTGTTATAAATCTTCAATATAAAATTGTTGAAATACGATCAATGGAGAAGGCCGACAGCTCGTGCTAAATTTCATAGAGTATTTCCAGAAAGAGAATGAAAACCACGGTTCCCTGTTACATACTTCATGCATACTGGAGAGAGTAGCAGATGCGCTAAAGATTGAAACTCAAAAAATCAAAAATGCAAGACCGATGATGTAAGTGATGCCGTCAAAACAGAAATTAGGAACACTTTTTACGATATGATAAGTAAAGCACAACATATCACGACCTCTGCGCTCAATTAGGGGCTTAAAAAAATGTACATATACAACGACTCGGATTCAAGTTTAAGGCATCTATTGAAAGCTTGTGGTTTTTCCTACAAGACAGAAGATAACCGCCGACTTTTGTGTGAAAAATCAGACATTGTTTCCAAATGTATCTATTAATTATTATTACTATTAACCTGAATAGTACAAACCCTCTCCAATGTGTTCTCTTATATAAAAGATAGATATTTGCCAAAGGGTCGTTTAATCGAATTTGGCAAGATAAGAACGTAAAGAGTTTGAAAAGCGGCCATCAGGGTAACGGCAAGCGGTACGTTGTTCACCATTCTGGAACCAAAAACGGTTTTTTTTAGAGATACTGCATTGTTATTTGCTACAAAATGAAAAAGTGCTGGCTACCACGGTTCCATGGACAAAGATTCTTTCAAAAAATGGGTATTTGAGAAGCTGATTCCAGCGTTACAAGAGCCATCTTCAGTAATCATGGATAGTGCCTCTTATCGTAGTCCTTCAACCGGAAAAATATACAATTCCAGTTGGAGTAAAATGCAATTGAAGCAACAGCTGCAAGACAAACATATACAATGTGTTTGGTCACGACATACCGATATTTAAGAGGGGTATTTTTCAGCTATTTTTATCGACAAATCCACCTCCCTACAATGTTTTATCTCATCCCCCTCGAAATGGTAGCCATTTTTATTTTTACGTTACGATTACGGTAGTGCATGTATGAAACTTGTAATAACTGAGTACGTAAGTGTCACATAGTGATAAATTTGGTGTTATTTGAACGATGACATGTTGTCCTAGCGATTATTGAAAAACGTGTTTTGATACTAACCGTCAAACATACTTAAAAACAGACAAAAACAGAAAAAATATAGAAGACAATTGATTATTTTGTGCATTTCCGCACACCATTCAAAAACTAGTCTGTGAAGTTGTACTTTTTTTGTGCTAATTCCACAGCTTTTTGTTATCCTACGTATTCTACGTTGAGCAATACATGCTACTTAACATGGGTCAAAAAGTGTGTAATAAAATGCAAATTGTTTTCAAACTCTCTATACATAAAAATGACAAATGTTCCTTATAGATACCTTGGACATGTTTAATGTTACAGACGCTGTTCAAAATGTTCTCCATTATTGGTTATACACATTGTTGTTCTTAAAAAAATGTGTCGTGTTGATCGGCAGACCACATCCGTGCCAGCCTTAATTTCATTCGCAGCACCTCAATGTAGATTGCTAAATATTTTGATAGATATGGAGGATACAAGCTTGATGTTTATTAAGGCGACATAGATTTAAAAGCTCGAGATTAAGAGCATCATCATCAAAAAGTATTTTTTTGTCTAGCAGTAATTTATTCAGTCGCATTTCACTCCAGGAAGAATTGAACATTTTTATTATTAAAGATGGTTGTTCTAAAGCTCTCATAAGCCTGTCACATATCCACATCCAATGTTAAATGTTCCATGAAGTTAGCAAATAGATGTGTTATTTTGTATTATATTGTAAATTCCGTATGCATTTTTTATTTCAACTTTAAAAACCATCTAATGGCGTGTCATGTTTATGTAGTAAATTAGAAGATTTTTGAGAATTACGATTAGTAAATAATTTTGAATCGGTTTCCCTCAGTTAGGAAAATTAAGATCCGCCCATGGTACGGAGACTTGCTTACTTATTTCATATTGCGATGTTGACGTAACCGCCAAGAACGGTGACTACGACTATATCATATACTGACACTTGATGCTTTTGCCGTCTGTGTAAATAAAGTCCTGTTATTATTATTATTGTTATTATTATATAAATATACGTCATACGCTGTATTGCGATTCCTAGAAAATATTTTTGTCCTCAAGTTTAATGAGGATACAGACTTATTTGGTGATTTTTTTTTTATACTCCAACTACCACGAAGGCCTAAGGACTAAACACCCATTGGGTACCGTGGGGCTAAGGGCGTCAAATTCAGGTGAAATTACATTCTGTACTTCACTTTCAATTAAGTGTTACTATCTTCTCGCAAATGATAGAATGTATGTGGTATGCATCAAAATTATTCGAAAACAATGATACTTTCAAACGTAAATGATAATAGTTTGCCACAGTTTACAATCAAAAATGTTAATAATAATAATCGCCTTTATTGACAGAAAAAAAACATGGTACGTTTAGAGGTGCGAGATTTAGCACCTGGTATTCGACCATCTGACCCCACAAAAGTGACTTGAAAAAAGAAACGAATTATATAAAGAACTATATGAATATAGATGGATCATCTCAATACAGTGTAATACAAAGTAATGTAGTTGCATTTATGAACAGAAAAAGAGATAAAAGGTTAGAAAGAACCGGAGAAATATTTGATTAAAAATACAAAGTATGAAAACGAATGAGCTTCTTAAGCTGTTGTATGATACAACGGCATTGTAAGTAAAAGATGACCACCTCTAGAATTTACATCAAATGTGTATATTGTAATCTTCAACATTATTTCAAATGTTTCCCTAATGACTGGCATCTGAAGTTGTGTAAACAAGTATAATAAGTTATTAACTGACACATAATAAGGTGAGCTATTTCTTAGAAATTATGAGGTTCAACAAACAATGAAAAATCACATAAGAAGCAATATGCAGCTTCAAGGAACCGAGAACATACTGAATTAAAGCGGATACAATACGTTACATCAGGCTACCACAGAACTAGTGCTAACTGATTCAAGTTACACTGACATTCTTCATCAACAAATTTCTCATGAACTTTAGGCATTGGGCGGGATGATGTTGAGGCTACATATTTACAGAAATTTCTTAGACAAAAGCTTAGACAAATAGACTGCAGTACTGCTGATCCCTCTTATTAGAAGAAGCCTCAACTACTGAACTATTAAACAGGCATATCACTTCAAATTTACGGCATGATATAATGATTGAATTCAACATTAGAGTCAGTTATCTATGAAATATTGTTCAGCAATTGAACATCCATTATATCAATGGCTCATTGAGAAGCTAATTTGTTGTATTCCTTTGGAAACTACACCGGGCAGAATAATAGCGACGCAATTTTGACAAAACCACAGATAAATTGACTTGGCGCTTTGACTCACTAATAATGTTTAGAAGTTCATGTTTTTGCTAATATTGTGATAGGTCTGTTTTGTAGATAACATAACAAAGTTCCGCTCTTCAATGAAAATTATGATATGTTAGTAAAAATATGAGTAGTTAGTAGACTTAAAGCTAAAAAACGATTATTGGTCTACAGTATTTAAGTATATCGGTACCAACATCTGTAGATCTAGCCTATCGATTAATGATATGATATGAAGATATACAAGGATGACTAATTCTAATAAAACTCAACCATTTTGCCCTCTTTCATTTTGTTCAGAATGTCAGGGTAAATATGATTGGAAAGGATATACGCAAATTTGATTCATATAAGTTTTCTGAAATACACATATATTTATATTCTATTCGGATTCCAGCTACTAAAAAAATATTTTTTTAAGATTTACAAAAAAATACAGCAGACGTACTTCGAAAGTACCTTCTAGTATTATAAACTCTTGTTTGTTTCTTGAGGCTTAACAACAATGGAAGTAAGGCACGTGTGCCCAAATACACAGTCCTACAAGAAAAGGTCGAGATACGTGGCACAGACCATATTCCGGTATCCTCAAATATTTTTTGAGCTGAATCTGGCCTAAAAGATCCCTACACCCCTAGAATTCACCCTAGGACCAAAAAGTACCACTAATACGCATGGAAATTTGATTTTGGAATACCAGATGCTCAACCACATTATTCATATGTATTCTTCAATGCTGAATCGGACCTTGAGGTGGACAGCACACCTCCCTTGAATTCACCCTGCCGCCGCCGTCAAGGAGTTTTGAGAGATGGATTCTATTAGTTGTATTGATGGACGCTTATTTCGCCAGCCTGATGCATGTTTTCCTAATGATTTCTAGAGCCATGTTATGGTCCTGAGAAGGCAATCGGTGGCCCATACATACGTGAAATATGTTTCGAAATCGAACATTTTCAAAAGTTACAAACTCATTGCGGTATGTATGCCAGGAATATATTGAATCAAATGAAAGTACAAGTATATGTTGACCCCAAATTCGAATGCAGTATCGAAAAATGCATAGAAATACCACGATTGAGCATCTGGAATCCGAAACTGAAATTTACACCCTGCCTTAGGGTTAGTTTTTGATTTCAGAGATGTAACGAAATTTAGCTGACCCCAAATTCTGATTTAGCGACGAAAAATACGTGGTAGAACTATACTCCTGGCATCCAAAACTAAATTTTCACCACTTGTGGAGGTAGTTTTTGATCCTGGGGGCAAATTCTAGACGTCTTTAAACTTTCCCAATCCAGGAATCGGCCTTAGCGTCAAGAAACACATATGAATATTATGGTCTATCTCACAAATCACGATTTATTTTGTGGGGCTGATACATTGCTTTTCACAATTTTTATGAGATAAATGTTGATGAGTTGCGAACTTTTTTTTTTGCTTATAGACGCCATCAAATCTACACATCGTTTTTAGGTAGAGCCAAACTTAATACATAGTTCAAAGGAGGTGCGTCAGATGGATGTATAATTCAAAGTTGAATCTATCTGCAAACATGCCAGGATGAACTTATTTCACTTCACGAATGGTCAAATGATACAATGAAGAACATTTTGAATCGGATACTCGATCCGCGACATCCAAATCTACCGCTATTGCCGAATCGTCAGTCGTTCCTACAATTGTAGGACGCAGTTATGGCATCCTTGATTTCCATAATATCTTGTCTCCTTCAGAAAGGCACTTGTGTGGCTGCATTAGATCTCTACCGTGCCAACAATTCTGATGTTAGGTTAACGTTTGAGACAGACAGTCAGATATATCAAATGGAGAATCATATTTTATTGCAAATAATGTCGATCAGTCAATGTAATTCCCATAATGAAGGTAGGTAAGTTACAGAATTATCACTGCATATTCATATTCACATACTTATCACATTTTTTTCAGATGTTATTTATTGTCCCAGACTTTATGAGAAGTTGGTTCCTCGATGGATAACAAACATTGTATCCCAAGTGCAATTGCGTTGTTGATGCCACAGATGCCTGTTTACAAATCATTGTTGGACTCTGGATTGTGTACAGTGTCAGGATACAAGTATGTATAATATAATAATAAACGTAATGTTTTGCCTATCAGATATATATCTTATATTGGTGAGAACCTTAGCCTATAAATTTTAGATTAAATTCTAAAAATTATTATTATGAGGTTGCAGCCCACACCAAAGTGTAACATTTTTAATTGTGGAATTTGTTCAATATAGGGAAGTATTGACTAATCGACATTATTTGCAAGAAAATATGCTTCTGCATTTGATTCATCTGGCTAAAATTTTTTAAACACAAAAAAAGCATAACCTAACATCAGAATTGTCGACAAGGTAGAAATCTAAAGCAGCCACACAAGTGCCTTACTGAAGGACACAAGATATTATGGAAATCAGGAAGGCCATAAAGGTGTCCTACAATTCTAGGAACGACTGACGATACAGCCCTAACTGAACTTTCCTGACACCCGTGTTTTTCTGCTTGTCAATTTTTGTTCGGCCTCATTAAATTCATCAAGAAATTGCAGGACAGAGCATATACTTAAATACCATAGACAATAGATTTACACAAGTTCCACAAGCCGAAGTAACGGTAAAACCTTGCACCGAAATGCTTTTACTTTGCGATTAACATCAAACCAGTTACTTAGGAGTTCAGTCAAAATAAACCGTGCACTTACTTTTCGGCTTCAGGGGGAGGAGTTTTAAGGCTCTTGAAAGCCTTCAGCCATTTATTTTTGGAGCTACCGGTGGAAACCGCCGACAATTTTCGTTCGCGTGTCACCGACTCTCCCTCCAGTTTGTGGGAGAACAGCTCCTTCTGTAACAAGAAAGCATCACGGTGAAAATTAGCATAATGTTCAGGTTAACGCACACTGCACAATGATGGTTATAACGTAAACTTTCATACATGAATATGCCAAACCATGGTATAATTTAATGACTTCATACAGATGTTGGTCTTTCAGATGCTAATGCTTTTTATTCACTAAGGTTCTCGAAGCATGACATATCTGCGTTGAAGGGACGATTCAGCAGCGTTAAAATCCCAAATAAGACTAGACATATCCTCAAGCCTCAATCGGAGAAAATTCTGGTGGAGGCTTTAGTGTTGTCACACTTATGCGGATGTACTGTTTAAACCAAGTTTACGTAAATGCGATGAAGAGAGTTTACAAAAACTTCAAAATTCATGTGTTTTATCACAGGGACTAGGATGCAAGATCATGTTTCTCAACACTACTCTGGCCTATAACTGTTAAATATCGAGGGATCCTGCATTCAATTTGAGTGTGTTTCATATAATTATTATCAATCCTGCCTATCCGTAGATTTAAATTCGATATACTCGCGTAACAGACGTACACATTATCAGCTTTCGTTAAGGACATTAAATTTCTCTTAATTTTTATATTTTGTACGTTTTTCAAACAAATTTTTCTTTAGAATGTCGCACGGCTCTATAACAAGGTACGGACTTCATAAAACAGTTTGTTTAGAAATTTATTATAATGTGAGACATATATAATTATTTTTTTGATGTCTCATATTTGCCTTTTTCCGACTTTTTTCAGCTCAAGCTGATATTACCGACAATTTAGCAGTTCCCGATGAAATAAATATTTGTTTTACAAATATCTTTCAGAAAAGCGACGAAGCTTGTTCAGAAACTATCGAATATTATAGACATAAACCAAGATTTTCTTTTTCAGTTCCGTCTTGTTGATATGTCTATGATGCTATTCGCAGTATTAACCCCAATTCTAGATGAGTTGATGGCATTATCAGATGATGACGAGATGATTAAATCATGTCTGTCTGATATAGGAAGATTCAAATTACACATTAAAGATTGCTGTATATTGATATAAACAATTTAAGAAGGTATGATCATGTTTTTCACTCAATAGCTTACATGAATTGGTTAAAAATATCCAATATGTTTAAACAGAACCTTTTCACATATGTCATCAAAATATTAAAGATCTCTGTTCCCTCTGACCTTAGGCGAAAGCTTTTTTATAGAAATTTGATTCACAATTTGAATACATGCAACAACCATCTCCTTACAGTACTTACAGTACTATATTTCAACGCTCTTTCACGTACAACGTGTTGAAGTTGATTAATTTATTTAACCAAAACTTTATTACCAACTACTCTAAAAGAAATCTGGGATCCCTTTATTAATTGTTTTTTCAAACTTCTTTTTATTCTTGCTCCCGTGTAAATTCTATTAGGATTGGTACTAAGGCTGTGTTTTTTTCCATTTCTAATTATTTTACTTCAGGTTAAGGTAGCTATAAACCTGAGATGGTTAAGTCTGAATGGCTATTAGCCAGACTTCGGCATTTGTAACTGTGTATGTGTTTCTTACAATAAAGTCGATCGAATTGAAGTAAATTGTACACATTGTTCATTTATCGGTTGAATGGAAGAGTGGATATTAAGAACAGTAGCTAGAATGTATTGTTAAGTTTTGAAGCCTTGTTTGTTTGTTTACTTGTGTGCTTATCTGGACAATTAAAACCATTTATTATTATTATATTGAAGCAGCCTGTACAGGAAACACAGATATTTTGCCGAAAAAAGCATACTATTAAAAAATGAAGGAGCGATCGTATCAGCCAGTTAAAACTTCTTAAACGTCTTATTAATAGTTCATGCGTGCATATACGAGGTGTGGCAGAAAACTAGCTAGCCTGATTTTTAATCTACAAAAGCTTTTTTTCCAATACATCAATATTATCTCTTTTGGCAGAAGTTATGGGGATATTTAACTGAGAAAGAAAAGTCACAGGGACTGAGATCAGGTGAACGGGGAGGCTGGAGAACCACAATAATACCTTATGAGGTCAAACATTCTGTGACAGGGATGACAATGTGCCACGGGCCGTTGACTCGATGGAGAATTTACTTTTCTGCAAGGTGTGCTCTCGCCCGAATGAACCCTTCCTTGAGCCTTTCAAGTAAGCATTTATAAAAAGCTTGTGCAAAAAATAAATCAGCATTGGATTTGCTAAATTGTCTTCGGACTTTGACTCTTGGGCTTTACTTGAATTATATAAAATTTCTGGTGAAATTGCTTCCATATGTGAATATAGTAGCTTCAGTATTAGGAATGTTATCTCTTGACTCGAGCGTAGAACTCCTGAAGTCACGAGTTTCATATATTTTTAGTAACATATTAACTTTTCTTGGTTGGTGCTAGCGTCCCTTGGTTTTAGGACCGTAATGAAGATTGCAGGATTTGTCAACTGCAATTAATGAAGACTAAGAAACCTGCTTTTTCGATTATCCTGTTCACTTGTGAGGTCTTTCCGCACCATTTGGTCACATATCTTTAGCATGTGCAAATGTAAAGCGAAATTATGATGATCGGTAAATCTGTTCAAATTTAACTGTCGGTCAACATTCTTATTGCTAACCAACGGTCTGATCTCACATGTGTATTCACACTCGTTTTTGATGGTTCGTAGTAGAATGCTTTCCGTAGAGGGTCTTATCTTTAACGTGTTCTCTGCCTTCCGAAAATCATTTGAGCCAGCAAAAAACTTGAGCTTGGTATAAGGAATGTTTCCCATATGCTTGTTTTAACCTTTCCAAGCCCAACATAAATTTTAATGCTCAACTTTGCTTTAAATTCCGCTGTTTGACTTTACGTGACGCATAACCAAAACACAACTTAACTAACAGCACTCTAAAAAATCACGAGGTTTCGGACGGAGTTGAAACTCGCACTGAGCGATTGGAGTGGATTGAAAACCCTGCTTCCAACGCGGTAAGCAGAACAACGAACCGGCTAGCGGGACGTTGTAGTTGATTTTTCTACAGGACATAGACAATAAATAATTTTGTGTTTCAGCATACGTGGAAGTGCGTAGTGACTGCATTTTCGTGTGAGTTAGGTATGTGAATATCGTCTGTTGTCTTTGATCTATTGCAATTTCTCCATAAGTAGTTATACACTACAGTCTATTTTTGTCTGCACTCCATCTATTTTTTGCTCTGACAAAAATTCCAAGTCCCCCAGTTTAAATGGTTTTATTTTAATAAAAGTTGTAAATAACAAGTGAAAAATTTTTCATCCTTATCAGTTGGACATTCCGGTTTTTATACTGATTTTTTTTAATTCACTAACGCTCTAAAAATGAATATTTCAGCCGCAGTAAAGAATCAACGTTGGCGGATTTTGGTTCTTGACATCCTTTACGATCGGTTACGATGCCTAGAGTACGGAGACCTGTACGATTTCGTCAACTTAGTGAGTTTGATAGGGGCCGTATAGTGGGACTTCGGGAAACTGGACTTTCTTTTCGGGCAATTGCAGTTAGAGTGCAAATAAGTGTAGACACTGTGGTTAGGTGTTGTCAGGCATGGCTTCTAGAAGGCCGTACGCAAAGAGCAAGGGGCACTGGACGCCGCCGTAGAACAACAGACCGTGAAGATCGTCGCCTAAGATTATTGGCCTTAAGGGACCGTTTCTCCACTACCAGGTCCATTGCAAATGAATGGTTTGCAGAACACGGAAGACCTATTGGCATGCGAAGTGTTTACCGACGAACGAGAAGTTTTGGCTTGTTTTCATACCGGCCACACTGGGTCCTCCCTTTAACTCGAGAACACCGACGTAATCGCCTTGAGTGGTGCAGACAACGGTCACTCTGGGATCAGGAATGGAACAGTATTGTCTTTAGTGACGAGTCTCGATTTTGTTTAGGCATGCACGATGGTCGTGCCAGGGTTAGAAGGCGACGTGGTGAAAGGAGGAATCCACAAATTTTTGTTGAAAGACATGTTCATCACACTGTTGGAGTTATGGTTTGGGGTGCTATAGCTTATGGTTCCAGGTCACCTTTAAACTTCATCAGAGGTAACATGAACGCGCAGCGTTATATCCACGAAGTTCTAGAACCCCATCTTTTACTCTATCTTGACACCCTGGCAGATCCAACTTTCCAACAAGATAATGCCCGACCACATGTTGCAAGAGTCACAATAGACTTCTTTCAACATAATGATGTCACATTGTTACCATGGCCACCAAGATCTCCCGACTTATCCCCAATTGAGCACGTGTGGGATATGACGGGTAGGAGATTGCTCAATTTGCAACGTCCTCAGACTCTAGAAGCACTTCGAGAGGAGTTGGTGGTTGCCTGGAATGAGATACCACGGGAGGACATTGACCACCCGATCAGAAGCATGCCTAGGCGCGTTGGAGAATGCGTAGCACATCAGGGTGCATCCACACATTATTAAAGGTCAAAGGGCTTTAAGGCAGTGCAATCATTTTGAAATTTTTATCATTTACTTATTATGCTTCATTAAGTACTTATACAAAATTTTATTAAAATAAAACCATTTAAACTGGGTGTTCGGATTTATATGTCACTTAGTATAAATAGCTCAGCGAAATTGGGTCTATGTTTTCGTCATGGTACCCGATGTCGAGCTGTGCAAGGAATGCGAGAATAATTTTATAGTGAGTACCAAAGCAATTAACTGTAATATTTGCGCATCTAAATTCCACACTTCTTGTGTCTCAGTCAAAGACAGCTGGATAAAAATAATATCAGAGTGTGAAAATCTGCCCTGGGTCTGTGATGACTGCCGTTGCTTCCTATATAAGAAATATGATTCATCTAAAATTGAGACTAGTATCTTACGAAAAGAAGTTGAATGTCTAAATAGGGAAATGGAGCTTACAAAGCGATTGATGTCGGAACTGGAGTACTCCAGTGAACTACAGGAAATGTCCAATGTACCAAAACTTGTACAAAACCTAAAAGAAAGAGTCGACTATGGCTAATCTATCTA